ACCCTGACACGCTACATCCTGATCCACAGGTTTCAGGCATAAAGAGAACCAACTGGGAATGGTGTGGCCTTTTGAAACCTCAGCATGCCCCCCCTCAGAGACACATCTCCTCCAACAAGGCCACACCTCCTGATCCTCCCCAAAACAGTTTCACCACCTGTAGCCCAAGCATTCAAATATTCGGGACTATGGCAGGGGTGGGGGAGGGAGGGATTCTCATTCAAACCACCACAAGTATCTACTGCTCTAGCTGCAGCTCCAACTCCCGGCCTGAAAATCTAAGAAAACGGCATTTCATCCAAGAATTCTTTCCCTACCGCTGCATTAACGACTGTGTCAGAATGCAGAAACAAAAACAGTGCCCTAATAATTAAAGTTACACGTGTGTATACACACCTGCTATGGCCATCAGCCTCCTAGGTCAAATATGGTACATTCCAAAACACAAAGGTTAAACATCATATGTGCATGAGTGAAGTGTGTGTGTGAGTGTGTGAGTGTGTGTGTGAGAGTGTGTGTGTGTGTGTGTGTGATAAAGCACAGGGACGAGCATAGGGAGATAAAGATCCCACTCTCCAAGCATGAAGAGAGGGGCTGAGGAGACGGTTCAGTGGGTTAGAGCACATAAGCAGAAGGCAGATTTTGGGTCCCCAGCACCTATGTAAAAGCTGAGAATGGCCATGTACCTTTAACTCCAGCATACGCTGTGGAGTGAGTAAAGAGAGGACTCTCAAGAGAATAATAGTGTAGGATGCCCTACACTCTCCTCTGACCTCTACATAAGCACACATGGGCACACATTCAAATACCACACACACACACATACACACACACACACACACACACACACGGAGACAGACACACACATACATACACACACACACAGAAACAGACAGACACATACATACACACACACACAGACACACACACACACACACACACACACGAAGACAGACACACACACGGAGACAGACACAGAGACACATACCACACACCACACACACACACACACACACACAGAGACAGACACACACATACATACACACACACAGACACACACACAGAAACAGATAGACAGACACACATACATACACACACACATATAAACACACACACACCAAAAGAATGAAAAGAAAAAATACACAAATAAGTAATAATTGCTGCCAAGTGTGGTGGTCCATACCTTTAATCCCAGCACTTGGGAGGTAAAATCAGGCAGATCTCTGTGAGTCGGAGCTCAGCCGAATGTACAAAGTGAGTTCCAGGACAGCCAGAACTACACAGTGAAACCCTGACTCAAAATCATAAAAGGGAGGGAGGGAGGGGTAATAACTGTAAAATTCTCCATACTTTGAGCCAACATGGGAGCATAGACCATAGTTCATTGAGCTTCCTTCCCTTACTGGCGGCAGTCTACCACCGTGGATGGACTTCGCCGTAAGACTTCCTCTATTAAAGGAAGGGTGTCAGTGCAGGAATCATTTGCGCATGTGCTTTGCCTAGATGCTGGACCACATCTGCCATAACAAGAGCAAATCACAGGTAGCTGCTACCCTGTGGCCTAGGCCCCAGATCATGCATGGACCATACAAAAACTCAACCTACAGCTTACAGTCAAGATGCTCCCAGAAGCTGAGCCTGCATTAGCTTGGGCTCCACCATGAAAATAAATACCTGTTGCTATAGAACAGGAAAGTCTGCTATGCTGCCAGAGTTGGGTGACATAACATTATCATTTGGTATATGCTGGCATTTCTTACCTGTTCATTTACTTTTGTCCCTTTTCTTCACCTAAACTAGAACAGACTGGAGACTCCTTGGCTCCAACCAGTGGTTGCTATCTTAGAACCAACTGTTACAAACTTGCAAGACCCACGTTATTAGTATTGGTGCCTTCCTGCTTTCTGTTTGTCCCGCTATCCTACCAAGTAGGGAAACTTGAAATAAACTCTCAAGGAACTGTATACATATCGCTAAAACTGAACTAGTGGCTGACAAGAGCTACCCCATGTTATGGGCAGTGTTAACAGGTTGGCTGCTTGTAAAAAGCAGGTATTCTGGTAAAACAAAGACTGTGAAAAATCAACCTGACCAGAGTCATAGCCTATCCGCTGAGGCGAATTTGGGGTAGCACTAGCCTTATTCACCATTCACAATACCTGTTCGGGTAAACCCCACTACTAAGATTCACCAGGGATGACACTCATGGAACTTAAGTTTTTTACAACATAATGAGAGAGAGAGAGAGGGAGAGAGAGAGAGAGAGAGAGAGAGAGAGAGAGAGAGAGAGAGAGAGAGAGAGAGAGAGAGAGATTATTTGAGAGGACTAATTTAAAATGTAAATATATTTAACCACTAATGAACAGATATTTTCTTGCCAATGAAAGAAAGCTGAAAATCTAATCCCTTAGGATGCAGGAAACCAAGTGTCTGATATTAAAAGCATTTACTCAACCAAAACTCACTTAAACTGGAAATTTGAGGAGTCAAGAGAAGTAAAAGAGCATGAATTTTGTTTTGTTTAGAACTAATAGGTCAAAAATGCTCTATTAGAAACATGCAATACACAGTTGTTAAATTCGCCTACTGGTGAAAGTAAGAGCCTTCAGTGAGCAGACAGGCAGACGGCATTAAGACCATTAACAGTGGGCTCTCCACAGGGTGGGCAGACTCTCCGTACGCTGGGGAGTCCCTGCTTCACTCTGGACTCGTGCAGACCACGAAATCAAAAAATCTAAATTCAAGGCCATGGCAAGGTCACATAGGCCCTGGGTCAAAAAAAAGTACTTAACCAGCCCAGTATGGAGTGGCAAATATGCCCAACTCCTTTCAGCCTCCACAATTATAATTTAGGAGAACTAGCGGCACCCACCTCCCGTGGGGTCTGCTAAGTGTAGAGTGAGATACGGTGTGTGTGTGTGTGTGTGTGTGTGTGTGTGTGTGTGTGTGTGTGTACGTGTGCGAGTACAGCAGCAGCAGCGAGAGCACAGATCCTCTTGACCCGCCAGGCGCCTATTGTCCTAACCAGTGCGTCCCAGTCCACAGCTCACTCATATAAAGCTAAACCCACAGCGCGGTGTTCACGCCCAGGTCCCACTCCCATAAGGGGACATCTCTCTGGGTGAGAAATCCACGCTTTCTAATGAGTTTTGGGAGAAGGTGCTGAAAGTCAGGCGCTTCTCTGATACAGATTCAGAAGACCTGTCCCTTCATCCCTGATTAATCCATCCGAGTCTTTCAAGCCAAACCTTCCTCTACCCCACCCCCCAAAAAAATGTCAAAGGCTTTTCCCAGAGTTCAGAAGCAAACCAACCAGACGGCTCGCATGAGAGGGTCAAGTCCTTTACCTCGCCACCACCTCCATCCTAACCGACACCCCGCAAAGGAGGAGAACCAGGCAGCCCTGGCTGCTAACACCAACTCAACATGAGTTGAGTTAGACCGTCAAATCTACAGAGAATCCTTTCCACTGGCGTGCACACTGGTAAAGCACATCTCCCTGCTTCAAAATCCCCTCATGAGCCCACCAACTCTGACGGAAGGGCCAAACTGCACGCCCAGAAACAGTGAGTTCACAAGGACAGGGACAGGGTGAGCATAGGAGACAGTGCCACACCCTTCTCCCGGATAGCTCAACAGGAAAATGCATCTCTTATAAAGAGGACTGCGGTTCTGGGGGGAAAGGCAGGTTCCTCCAACCATTCCATCCACCCCAGCATCCCATGTCCGCCTCCTTCTGTACACAGACGCTTCTCATGGTTAAGCCAGCGACCCCAGCCTCCCCAGTTACACGACTACAGGGAAGACAGGAGCCCACAGGTTGGACATACTTGCTTCTGAGCCCATTCCCGAGGAGTTTGCTTCCCGCGACTCTGCTTCCCGCAGCTGGGGCTCCTACCTGGTGGAAACCAATGGTTAAGGAAAACCACTGATTTAAAGAGCCAACCAGGAAACTAACCATGACAAGTGGGAGCAGCCCTCCTCTCACGAGCATTGATTGGCTCTTGGGATTCCACCGGTCCCGTTCTACCCACATAAGTGGCAGGTGTGGCTGTCAGTCACGGAGAGAGCTTACAATTCACTGCTCCTGGAGTAAATGGTCTTTCATCCAGCAAAGGCAGGTAGCCGCCTAAAATCGATCTTCTCCTAACGGAGCGGACCCTCCCTCTGGCGACGAGGAAAAAGACCCCTAACTACAAAATAAATTATGTAGGGCCGAACAGAGGAGAGTTTACGGATACTATTTTATTATCACACAGCAAAGGAGCTCTTATTCCTCACTGTCCTAAAAAATGATCTTAAATTTTTTAAAAGGCTCGAATAGTAATAATAATCATTTTTTAAAAGGCACCTCACTGTATAATTAGGGGATGAGGGGAGAGAGAGCAGGAATGCTCTTTAATTTCACATCGTATTCTTTTTTTCTCTCTCTCTCATACACCACCTCCTACCCCTCCCCAGTAAATCATCTTCATTTTCCCAGGCATGGATTTTGCAATGTTTAACCTGCGTCCCACCGTTCTCCCGGGAGTCCACCCAGACAGCCAGGCTTACAACACCGCCCGGGGGCTGGGGTTTCTCTGCTCTCCACTTTATATTCGGCTTGGGGTTCCGCGAGACCCCCCGCCCTTCCGAGCATCCCACCCCTCCCGGCTGCCAGGCGTGGGGAGGGTGGGGTGGGGTGGGGGTCTGCAGGAAAGAAAGGCGAGGACGGCGAGGGTGGCTCCGAGAGAGGGACCGCGGGGAGGTGGCCCCGGGCCGCCCGGGGCGAGCGCCGGGGGAGCCGTGCACTTGTTCCAATCCGGGGGTTTAGAGAGCGAGGCAAATCCGCCCTTAGGCCGCCCCATCCCTGCCCCCGCCCGGGAGAGCCCCGAGGAGGCGGCGGCGGCGGCGGCGTCTCCCCCTCCGCGTCTCCCCCGATAAACGCATTGCAGCTGCCCGCGCGCGGGCGGCGGGGACCCGCATGGAGGGAGCCGGGCCCCCCGGCGTCGGCGGCTCACCTTAGGGATGCTCGCCCCGGCGCGGTCCCACATAGATGTGCACAGCTTCGCGTGGCCGCGGCCCCGGGCGGCCGGGAGGAGCCGGAGCGACCAGGAGGAGCGCGAGACGGCGCGGCCAGCGCGGGGAGGGCGGCCAGCGCGCCGAGCGCCGAGCGCCGGGGCCGGGGCCGGGCGGGGCCGAGGGGGGCGGCTCCCGCCGCAGTCCCGACACGCGCGCTCACGGCGGCTCGCCCGCCCGCTCGCCGGCTCGCCCAGGCCCTGACTCACATTCCCAGCATTCCCGAGGAGCCTAGAAGGGGCCGCGGCTGGGGCCTGGGCACCTCCGCGGGGGGCAGCAGAGAGTCGAGCGCGTGCCCGCTCCGCAGCGCCTCCTGGCAGCCTCTGGCCCGAAGCACCTGACACCCCCACCCACCCCACCCACCCCTCACCCTCCCGCGGGTTGTCACCCCCACCCCCAGAAGCCCCTCCAAAAGCTGCCGTGCACTTCTGGGTGACAAGGACAGCGCTTGCCTTTTCACTTGACCTACAGAACTGTGTTGGGGATCCCTGTCCCCCGGCATCGCCCCCATCCATCGCTTCGTGGGGTCCTCAGAAGGGTGGCGGCCACAAGATGCCCACTTTACTGCCACTTCCTCGTTCCCCAAGGAAAGGCCTGACAGAAAGGGGGAGAAGGCTCTGTTCATCCTATGCGTTGGGGGTCTTCTCTGATTGCCACTTAGAGTATACAGATGCCCCCCCCCCCCCGAGGTCACACAGCCTTTCAGAGAGAGTGCGTGAGGTGGACAAGGTTTTTCCCCTGGGCAAAAGCGTCTACTCAATAAGTCTTGGACCCCTGCTGCTGCCCACATCGCGTTTGGGAAACTTAAACGTCAGAGGCATCTCCAAATGTGGTCCCTCTTAGTGAGTAGTCCATTCCAGAACAGCAGTGATTTCCTTTTTACATCCTGAAGAGTCTGCTTCCAGCAACTTCAGTGACCAGATAGGAATGCCTCCTGCTGGGAAGCTCGCACACATACAGCGGATCCGGATCCAGCGGTGCGGTGACCAGAGGGGTGGAACAGTATTAGCTGTGACTAGGGACGACCCTTCCTCCCACCTCGGAAGGGAGAAATCCCTGTGCTAACTACTCAGAGACCGGAGGATGTCTTCCTACAGTGGCCTGAATGCCCCTCCCTTTTATAGCTATGCCGTTTAAGGTTTTTTTGTTGTTGTGTTTTTTCATAGCCTCTGAGTCCCATACTCTTCCCATCCCCAACAAATGGTGCTCTTTCTCCCAACCCGGATACCCGAAGAACAAAACCAAACTGCAAGCTGTGTTCTGTGTCCACATAGGTCTTTGGCAGCCTGGCGTGTTACACACGAGAGCTCTCTGAGATTCTTGAGATACCTCATATTGGGTATTTTTTGAAATGTGACTGTCCTGGTTTGCTTCTCTGTTGCTGTGATCAAACAACGATCAAAACCAACTTGGGAGAGAAAGGGGGTTTATTTGGCCGACAATTCCACAGCACAGTCCATCCTGCAGCACAGCCAAGGCAGGAGCACACGGCAGGAAGTGAAACAGAGGCTGGTGGAGGGTCGCCGCTCACTGGCTTGCTCCCCGGACCCCTGGCTCCCTTTGCACTGTCTTACTCAACCCAGCCAGAACCAGAAAGCCCAGGGAAGACACGGCCCACAGTGGGCTTGGCCCACCCACATCAATCGTCAACGCCCACGGGCCAATCTGATGGAGGCAGTTCCTCAGCTGGGGGTTCCCTCTTCCCAGGTGCCTCTAGTTCATGTCAATTTGAAAGCACTAACCTGTACAGTGACAACGCACTTTAAATACGTGCACACACACACACATATGTATATACGTGAATATGCCAGTACTTATTTCTGATACTCATAAAAACTGTAAACTGTTAATTATTTTTTTGAGAAAAACCAGGTGATATGGCCAAGGTGGCACTATTACGGGTTTTTTTTTAATGCAGTGTTCAGCATTCACTATTTATTTATCTATTTATTTATTTATTTTGCTCCGCTTGCATGTCTGCAGGCAGGCCAGAAGGGGGCACCAGACAGATTTCATTATAGATGGCTGTGAGCCACAATGTGGTTGCTGGGAATTGAACTCGGGACCTTTGGAAGAAGCAGGCAGTGCCCTTAACTGCTGAGCCATCTCTTCAGGCCAACATCCACTATTGATGGCATTCATTCTCTTTTCCTTAGAACTGTGGGTTCTAAATAGGAGTCCTTGGATATTCAAGATAATGCATTATATATCCAAGAAGATTACACACACACACACACACACACACACACACACACACACGCACACTCAGTTTTCAACAACTTTCTTTCAAAATAGGTCCTTGACTCAGAAAAAAAAAACAGATGAAAGAATAGTAATTTTACATCAATACAAAGGACTGGTGATTTAGGTTCTTACACATGTCATCTTCACCTTCTATGCGACTTAGTTTCCCTAGCTTTTAAAAGCTACATTAAAAGAACTTCAAGGTCTCACACAGCTAAGATTCTCTAGCTTAATGTAAGATATGTGTGTGCATATGTGCACGCATGCGTGTGTGTGTGTGTGTGTGTGTGTGTGTGTGTGTGTACACACACATACACAGACATACCACCACACACACAAAATGCTAACAAGAAGCCATTCCCAGGTTTCTACCCAACTGGATGGAAAATTACAGTACAATCTTGTCGATACAAAAGACACAGCACTCACCTCAAAGAGAATGAACAAGTCTATTCTGAGGCCAAAGTGAGTGGCCACGGCCCAGAAACATAAATTTAGGTTATCCCAAACTCCATGTTCCAATTCAGCAATGCTTTGGTGAAGTTTTTTTTAATGAACAAAGAAGTCCTAAGTCAAGACACTTTAAAAAGCATTAGAGGAAACCTTGGACAGGCATGCCATAGCCAAACAGGGGAATCTCTGCTGTAGGTCTGAATGTTATTTGATGGCACAATTAGCTGTTGAGTGTGTGGAAGCTAAGCATCTGCACATTCCAAAAGGATTTACCCGAATAGTCGCGGGATGTCTGGGTATATGCAGAGGTGAGCTTACGTAGCGATTTGGGATGCTAAGACAACCCATGGTAATTGGGCTCTGGGTCTACAGCATTTCAGCTCTAAACAACCATGGTCCCAGTCAGTCAGTTAAGCCTGTAGAGTGTCTCTTAACATGGTGCAGCCTTCCTGCTGAAGCACCCGTTCCTGGCCTGTTCACTCTTGCCCCAACGTCTTCTTGCTGGTTTTGTTCCATTTTCTTTCCTTGGTCTCTCACATCTCCATTGCAGTCACGCCTCTGGCAAGCCAGAGACAATGGTGTGGCAGATTTTTTTTCACAAATTGTATTCATTCATTTAACAAATATGCATTTAGCATCTGCTCTTGGCCCGGGGGCTTAGAGCCTCTCCCCTCACAAACTAGACAGTTTAGTGAGAACAACTGATAAAAAGCAGGCAACTCCAGCCACCTAAGAAGGACAAAGTCCTGAGAGCTGTGGGGGCATCCAGGAAAGGCAGCCAATCCTCTGAAGAAAGGACCATCAGCCAAAGGACCCCACCATGCTACCCTACCCTATGTAAGGCCTGAGGTGTGGAGTGGCGCCACACATGCGTTGTGACCCCAGTCGTGACGGGCTCCGAGTGGACCCGTAATGGGCAGTCTCTCCTCAGTATTTGAAACTGGACTCAGGCTGAGTCCACTAGCCAGCCCTGAATGGTGAACTCTGGACTATGGTATCTGGAGGTGTTATGCACACCTGTGATCCCAGCACGTGGGAGAGAGAAGCAGGAGGATCAGGAGTTCAAGGCCAGCCTGGGCTATATGAGACCGTGCTTCAAAAATGACAGTAACAAAACCCACATCATAATGGCAAAGTCACCCAGGAGCAAAATCTAAAATGCTCACCCCAGGGAAGCTGGCACATAGAGAGGAAAACAGACAGCCATATATTCAGAAACAAGATTTCCTTGAGACAAAGGACTTGGTTGTGCAAGAGCTCACTAGACGTTCCCGATACGTGTAGCTCGCCAGTGTCTCCAATTTACCATCCCTTAAACACAGTTCAAGATTTTTGTGCATGAGCCTCTCCTTTCCCGAGGTCATCCATCAATCTATGGACAACATCCTTTGTCCTGTTACTCAGGCCCAACCTAAGAACGCCATGACGCCTCCTCTTGCTCATCCCACACACCTGTACCATCAGCCAGTTCTGTCAACCGGACCTTGGCCAGAGCCCAGCCACCTCAGTTTCTGAAACAAAAGAGAAAATGTGTGTCCCAGTAGAAAGGACTCAGGGTTCTACAGTTTTTTTTTTTAATTTATCTAACAGGTGTGACAATGCATGCCTATAATCTTAATGCTTGGGAGAAAGACAGGGAGACCTAGGTCACCCTTGGCCACATAGTGAGCTTTGAGGCCAACCTAGGCTGTCTCAAAAAAATCATATATATATAAGTACCATGCTGCCCCAACAGTCATTTTATTGTCATCAACCCTTGTAAACCTGCTCGTGTGGAGAGGATGGTCAGTGACTGATTGAAGGATTGGATGGAGAACTATCCTGGTTACACAGTGAGGCAGTGTTTGAAATAACTCTCTCTCTCTCTCTCTCTCTCTCTCTCTCTCTCTCTCTCTCTCTCTCTCTCTCCCCACCCTGTCTCCTCCTTCTCCTCCTCCTCCCCTTTTTCTCCCCGTCTCTCCCTTTGGTCTTACATTCACTGTGGATTTTCCACGTTTATTTTGAATTCAACAATAGGAAACCAATGACACACACCTGTATGTTATGTGCTAGGCCTCTCAGTATTTTTTTAACCCTGAACTCTGTGCTCCTAAAGCAATTACACTTAACGCCACACTTGTTTTCCTTCAAAAACTAAAGACATCACAAAGAGCAAAGCTATTCTAGAAACCCACAAAGTGTTCTCAGTCAGGGTCCTATCTTTTTTTTACATACAGGTAAATGTTGAGATGACCTGACAAAATCATTTAACAAGCTACTGACAGGATTTGTGTATTAATTTCTACTCTTGCAGCTGTGAGCAACCTACAGAGGAAACACTTGGTCTAACTCAGTTCCAGGAGGATTCAGTTCCTCCTGGCAGGGAGGATACGGTGGAGTAGCCTAGTTCAC